TGCAAACAGCAAAGGGCAAAGGGTCTGCAGATTAGATTTTATGTCTCTATAATGAAAACTCTGGCCCTGTGCATTTCATAGCAAGTGAGTTTCAATGGTGACTGGTTTCTAACTAAAGCCACTGTTAATCCAATTATTAATCTACAACTGATGAGTAACTGGTGATATGAACCTTGGCAGTGTATTTAACTTGTAGGTGTAAACCCAGGAGCCAAAAGAACTACTTATCCTAATTACATTTTTTCTTAGCTACTGTACATTTTTTCACAACATAGTACTGAACATGCTATCTATAATAATAAAAGGGTAATATGCTAATTAGATCGGACTTCTTCCAGACCTCCTTCCTGATGAAGCTTGGGCTTGAGAGAAGCCCGCCTGGGTCCCGGGTGGCTGTGGGTGGCCCAAGGGAAGCCAGCCCAGGTTTCGGGTGGCAGAGGGAAGCCATTGCCGGCAGCCAGGGGAAGGAAGGCCTACGAGTGCACAAATTTTTGTGTACCGGGCCTCTAGTCTATAATAATAAAAGCATAATATGCTAATTAGACCAGACAGCTGAACAACCTTCTAGATGAAGCCGGGGCTGCGAGGGCCGAGCCCCTTGCACGAATTTCGTGCCTCGGGCCTCTAGTTTAATAAATAATAGTCATTTTTATTATTGTTATTGTCCTAATCCGAGGCCAGAACTAATAGTAGTTAATGGTACGTTAGACCAAATCACTAAATCACTGCATGTGATGCTGTGCCTGCTGAGGGAAAAAAGTTCAGATGTCAAGATAGTTTATATAAAACTTTCTCTATCCCAAGTAGCATCTGCTTGCCTATAAGGTGAAGGCACCTCTGAGCTCTCTGAGTGGTGGTTGTTTTTTAGTCCCTAGAGCAGCGGTTCTCAACCTGTGGGTCGCGACCCCTTTGGCGGTCGAACGACCCTTTCATAGGGGTCGCCTAAGACCGTCCTGCATATCAGATATTTACATTACGATTCATAACGGTAGCAACATTACAGTTATGAAGTAGCAACGAAAATAATTTTATGGTTGGGTCACAACATGAGGAACTGCATTTAAAGAGCCAGAAGGTTGAGAACCACTGCCCTAGAGGGTAGGGAGTTTGGGATAGGAAACTGGGATCTTTGTGGAGCAAAAGATACGAACTGACGGTGGTCAGTTCTTTTCATGTGCTTATTATTCACTAGTATACCTTCCTTTGTGAAATTTTGTTTATATCTTTTGCCCATTTATTTGTCTTTATTTTGGAGCTGTAGGAGTTCTTTATATATCATGGGAACAAATCTTTTGTCAGACATTGTTTCCCTGTATTTTCTCTCAGTCTGTGCCTTTCCTGTATTTTTTTAATGGTAAGCAATCAGAGACAATGAGAAGTTAGAACTGCCTTGAGACAACAAGTTTTTTCATTTCTATAAGCAATAATTTTATAACTAAGTGTATATCACTTGGCCCTTAGGAAAAGAGCTGGTTGTAAATTGGTAAATCTCTTTGTCTTAAATAGAGTCAAATTTTATATTTTGTGGGTTGTTTTTTTTTTTTGGTTTTCTTTTTTTGCAGAAAAACTCATTCCCTCTAAACAAAATGGTTTGCTCTAGATATCGGCAGACTTTGTGTGTAAGGACCACATAGTAAATATTTTTGGCTTTCTGGCCACATAGCCTGTCTGCACTAGGAAACTCTTGTCATTTTAACAAAAGCAGCCATTGATAGTACACCAGTAAATGGATGCGTTTGTGTTTCAATAAAACTCTGTTAATCAAAACAAGAGGTGGCTTTAGTTTGGTCGCCCTGCTTTAGAGCCTAAAACCCATTGTTGGTATGATTCTGGAGAAATTTTGGGTTTTATGTCTTAATACCAAAGGTGACAAGTGGATAATGTTTATTTGAAATTCCTTGATTGGTTGATTTTTATTTTTCTTGAAAGATTTACTTCAGAAAGTTGAAGGCAGCTTTTATAACTCATGACAACCTAATTAAAGCCTACTGAGGCGCTGGCTGGGTAGCTGAGTTGGTTGGAGTGTCATCCCATACACCAAAGGGGTTTCAGGTTTGATTCCTGGTCAGGGAACATACCTAGGTTACAGGTTCAGTCCCCGGTAGGCATGTATATGGAAGGCAACCAATCCATATTCCTCGCTCTATCTCTCATCCCCTCCCCTCCATCCGTCCCTCCATCCCTCCCTTCCTCTCTCTCTAAAAATAAATGAAAACATATTCTCTTGTGAGGATTAAAAAATAAAGTCTACTGAGTAATTTGTATTTTGAGGAATTGAGTTGAGTGGAAGCAAAACAGTTACAAAGGAACAAAAAGTGATTTGTGGCAACCTGAGAGGGAAATATGTTAGAATAGTGGGAGCTTCAAAATATTGGAATGGGTGTTGAGAAAAGGTTATATAATATTATCCAATTGGAATATTAATAGACGAGATTAATTAGGTATTATTCTGTCTGACTTCAGGAAAATAGATTGTGTCCTCTCCAGGATTTCTTTATTAAGAAATGGTTCTTTATTTCTAGTTTAGATAATATAATTGATCAGCTTCTAAGTAATCTCATCAGTCATTTGGATTTTGTATGTGCATTCTAATCTACCTCCCAAAACCCTGTTCTTCCTAATTTCCTTAATACAGGGTTCTCTCAGAAGCTGAAGTACTGTAAAAGATTTTATTATCAACACCCTGATTTTCCTTGAAATCATTTTTTAAAATTGATTTTAGAGAAAGAGAGAGAAACATTGATTTGTTGTTCCACTTACTTACGAATTCATTGGTTGTTTCTTGAACCCAAGACCTTGGTGTATCGGGAACCAACTGAGCTACCTGGCCAGGGCTGAACTCATAATTTTACAAATAATAACTTTCTTCTGGAACGCCAGGTCATGTTCTATTTTAAAAGGAGAGAGCAGATCTTGTAATAGTGGGATAGGGGTATTAATAGAGTTGCTCACTTCACTTTACTTTCTCTGTACTATGTGGCCTCTTTTGGAAGGCATTGCTGGTAATTTTATCTTTAAAAAAAGAACATCTTCATTTGGAGGGAGGGGTTGCCTTGTGAACATAACCCAGCCTCCTCTATGTTCCTCCCCAAATACAAAATACCTGGGCAGGACATTAATTTAGAAAACTTTACTTGAAGGGACCTTAAATTCTGCCTTTGCAAATCCTTTACTATAATATAAATGATTGCAATGAAAAGTTATTTAGAGTCAAATTAAGGTTTATATATTTAGTCCTATATATAAAATTTGTTCCTTACTCTTGTAATTAGTGCAGGTTTGGAAGTATGAGAATCACATTGCAAAAATTAAGAAATATCTTTGGTATTGCTGTTCCTTAGTATTTACATGTTGAACTGGAGGTAGAATTATAAAAATTCAGAACTTTCTGAAGATGTTTGACCATTTTTTAGAGAATTCTCCTTTATCTGAAGGAAAATAGCAAAGTTTGGAATTTTAGCCTTTTAAGCTTATTTGTTATTCTCTGCTATTAGCAAGGCACATATTAAAAATTTCTATTTCTTTGACTGCATACAATGTTAGCTGGTAGTTGGCATCAGCTTTTTCCTGTTGTATGTGTAATTTTCAGGAAAATTCAGTGGTCTCTGTCAGACCAATAAGACCTTTGTCCCAAATTGTGATGATACAAAACTGTAGAGTCTACTTATTCCAACACTTTCTGGACTAACAATTTCTGTTCACTTCTTTGACCCTAAAGCTTTATTGCCCTTAAGGTTTCCTCCAAGAGCTATAGCATTTCTCTATTACATGAATCTCCAAAAATAAGAAATTCTGTGAATGAAGCCTTAATTTGACTCTTGATTGTTAATTTTTAGTTCCAATCACTTGTATTATAGAAAACAAAAAGTTAGTGTATGTTTTTGCTATATAGCTTTTTCAATATGACCTTTGCTTTCTCTTTGGAAAGTACATATTGAATTAAAAAAATTTTTTGATAGCCTCCAAGGGATGAGACATTATCAGAACTCAACACTGAAAACATGAGAATGTAATTACTTAGTGCAGTGATGGCGAACCTATGCACGCGTCAGAGGTGACACGCGAACTCATTTATCTGTGTTTATTTTCCATTTGCATGGGGAGGAGGAGAGAAATGAAAAGTATTATTTCTAAACCACATAAAAGTTTTGTATATTTTTCCCCTAGAGAAAGTAAGAAATCAAACTAATGTTTCAAATATCTTATTTTGCTCATCTTGGGATAATGCACACATTGTGTAGTCCACATTTTTTATCATTATATATTTTTACTTGGCTTCTTTCAGGATGCAGTAAGGGGCTTTAAAAGGAGTTTCTGTTGGTACCTGAGGAGAAAAACACTCATCTTTTTCCAGCTATCCTATGCTATTTATCTCTAGTGGCTTAATTTCCCAGTATTTTATATCTTTAGACACTTAAAAAATTAAATAAATGTTGAATCACTATATTGTACACTTGAAACTAATATAATATTGTATGCCAACTATCCTTAAATTTTAAAAATTGAATAAATTGGTTCTAATAAAGGCCATTTTCTAGTATAGATTAGAGGTAAATTATTATAAATTACCTTAGAGTCAGATTTTAAACAGTTTATTCCCCAGTTGTTGTCTTTGAGTCATCTAAGATTTAAAGAAAAATGTTGCTTCCTTTATGAGTATACAAATGTTTTTTTCTCCATATTTTATAAAAAGTACTCCCTCTGTTCCATAATAATAGTAGCAAGTGAATATTTAAACGGTAATTATTGGTGAATACAGCTGCAAGTTATGTTGTAGTGCAAAATTGTGAAGCCTTCAATCAAAATCAATGTTTCATGACATCTGTCATTTGTTTTGACACATCTTTCAATTTTTAGGTTAATCTAATTATTATGAATTATAACTATTTTTCTAATTTCATCCGCTGATCGATTTTTTTATTTCAGTTGAATATCAACCCATTGTAAAAGTAAGATGAAAAAAAGAGAGTTTTCAAGCAAAGATCGAGTTGCGATTGTCCAGTTCTTGATGCATCAAAAGAAAAAGGAAAAGTTGCAGAAAGGTCCAATTACGTTAGCTGCAAAACAATTTAAGTGTAACAGAGTGACCATATCAAGAATTTGGAAACGTGCTTTTGAAAATCATTGTCAAGGAGAATCTTATACTAATGCCTCCCCAGTACCACATTGCGCAAGTCATAAAACATGGCATTTTTTCTTTTTTTCTTCATTCTTTTTTTTCTTCTTCTTCTTCTCAATGTCTCCCCATTCACAATACAGACCAGGCAAAGAGCCTGAGCTGAGGTGTGTATGGGGTAAGTTTACTCCACCTCCTATTTCTGCACAGTCAGTGTAAGAACACAGCCTGTGGTAAGCACCAGGAGGCCTAATCTAGTTTTTTGATAATAAATGTTGCGTTCTATGTTTTCTTTTGCTACTGTTATTATGGGACAAATTACATTCATCAACTGCTACTATTATTATGGGACAGAGGGAGTATAATAGTATCATCTTTGGCATTAGTTTCATTACACTCCCTACTTAATTTGTTTCCACTTTGAAGCCATAAAAGCTCCAGATAAAATATGTTTTTTAAGAGGCCTCTCTAAAAATAATATGCTTTGGCTTTTCAGGGCAGTCAGAATATTCAATTAAAGGTTCAGTTGCCAAGGAGAAGCTACATGCGACTCTTCAACATCATGCTCTAATGATCAACTTGATATGTTGGCTTATTAAAAATGGAAATTGATGACATAAAGAAATTTGTGTGTCAAATTAAGACCACCTTAATTATGATTTTCTTTCCCTGACTTAAGATATCTGTTCAATTCCAGAAACTTGAAAAAAAATATTTAGATATAAACGAGCTTCACTCACTCTTCAAGTGATTCCCCACCCTGTCTCTCTCAGAAATGCAACAAAACCTTATATAGAGTAATCTCTCACTCTGAGCAGCACCTTCTAGTACTAGCAAATTTGATGAGGAGAAAATATGAGGTTTTAATTTTTGTTAACTTTGCCACTACTTATATGTTGACTGTACACAAGATATAATTCTTTAGTGAAGATTGAAAGTTGATAATAAACTAAATGTATCGATGATGCTTAATGGTCTTGGCTGTCAAGGATTCATTGCGTGTGTACTGTCCTTCCTACACATTGGGTTTTACAGTAAACATGTTTAGACGGTGCCTTAGATGTTTAGAGATAAGTTATGCAGGTTACTGTAGACATAGGGATTTTTTATTGTCTGGGCGTATAATTCTAGATTTCTGTTTTTGCTTTCATTTTAAAGCAGAAGATGGCGTAGTTATAAGAAGTATTTATAAAACGGTGCAAGATTCTTAGTTCATTGTCCTAATACTGAAGCAGAGCTTTTTATTTCAAGTTTATAATTTCAGTTATTCAAATAAGAATTATTATGCTTATAGCTTTTTTCCTTCCTCCTAGATTCGTCCTCTGGATGTCTAAAAGCCTCAACTCATCAGGGTGCCTTAGATGTTTATGTCAGCCAACTGGGGAAGGTGGAATTGAAATCCCATAAAGGTTAGCCAAAGGGAATATTTTATTTTGACATGTGGTGTAAGGAAGGTTTTACATAACATTCAGGAAACAGATGGTCAATTTATCTTATCTGTGGTGCTGACATAATGATTTCAAGAACATATCTTCTGCCCTCTCTTCTGTGTAGTCTTCATGGCTCCCCCAACAGCCCTGCCTGGCCCTAGCCCATCTGGTTTCCTCTGATGTTTAGTGGCTTTTCCCCTCTCCTGTCTTTTCCTAAGGCAGGTTACAATGGCCTTAAGAACATATCTTCCGATAGAAACTGATTTAAAGACTAAAATACTACTCTGTAGACCATTGATCTTAGAGAAACATTGGGGAAAGATGGCCATGAAGACTATCTTTCCCTTTGTAGTTCCAACAAAAATGTTATAATATAGTGATTCGCTACTATTATAAAAAGTTTTAGTGTTAGTGTTTTTCAATTTAGCTTTATGTCTGAAATATAATATCCTTTGGAAAATGCTCTCTTGGGAAGCTTTTCTACCAGTCTGTACATGAACCCTCTGAGGCCATCACTCTAGAATAATTCTTTTCAAAATGTGATCCTGAAATAAAGGTATCACCAAGAGGGTCTTCTAAAGTGATTATTGGCTTAGTCTTTTGAAGTACCAAGACTTCTTATGTGGCCTTGGCCTAGTAGCTCCAATAGGCCAAGGTTGTAGATTCTATCTCCAGCCAGGGCACATACAAGGATCAACCAGTGAATGCATAAATAAGTGGAATAACAGGTCGATTTTCTCTCTCTCTCTCTCTCTCTCTCTCTCTCTCTCTCTCTCTCTCTCTCGCTTCCCACCTCTCTCTGCCCCTCCCCCCATTCCTTTCTCTCTCTAAAATAAAATAAATAAAAAGCTTATTTTGTTTTTCCTTCTATAATCTTATTTCAAATAACTTATTCTAAGCATCCAGGTCTTTCATTAAAAGTGGTATACTTTTTAGTCATCTGAAGACTGTACATGAACATGCACACATGTATGCTGGCAAGTGGCTTGGGTATTTGGAGTAACTTGGCCGTAGGGACTGAAGTGGCCTGTGCAGAAAGTTATGAACCATAGCTCTGTATAAAAGTTTTTAAAAAATAAATTCTAGAAGCTCTTGTATATTGGCCAGAACAGGGCTATATGTATAACAAGGAAAATTCTTCCTTACAGAGACTGGTTGTTCCTGCTGTTGGTAATGTCTTTCCCACATCGGTTTAATACTTTCTTTTTTTTTTAGTCAACGAGACTCACTTATCAGAGTGTCAAAATAAAACTACAATTGCAGAGGTCTGAAACTGAAGTTATTGCTGACACACAGGTGTGACTTGATTTCTCAAGATCAATTTTTTCCCCTTTAAATCCCATCATGTTCTGACTAAATTTCTAAGAGCTTCATTAATGCTATTCAGTGTATTTTTTGAGCGCCAAAAAAGTCATAGCATTGCATTTGAAAAGGAGAAGAAAACCTACAATTACTGCATTTAGTGTAACTAGTAACAGAGTGAAAGCTTTTACACGACAGTTTTTTGCTGTTGTGTATGGATGGGCAGAAAAGTAAAAACATTGTTAATCTTCATCACTTGAAATATTTTTCAGTGTTATTTGGAATGTTGATTAGGATTACAATTTTGTATTTTCTCCGACTGAAACCATGTTACTGGCAGAAGCTTAAAGATAACTGGAAACAAAGATTCCTATCTTATTTTAGTTCTCTTTAATTCTCACTACCTTTGGCAACAGTGACTTTTCAGAGTAATGGAAACTTAATTGGGATTCTGTTGCTTAGTGGTTAGTAAAGACATCTGGAATCCTTTCCAACTCTACCACTGTCTTGCTGTAGGGTTCAAGAGCCACTTGAGTCTCCTAGTTTTTCAACATTTGTCATGTGAAAAAGAATGTTATAATGCTTGTTTTCTCTCTCCCAATGAAAATCAACATGGGAACTTAATTCATTCAGAAGGGCTGAGATTACGCTTGATATTTAGAGACACAAAGTCCTCAAAAAGTATTTAAAGTTTGTTATTTTCTTTTTAAAATATGTTTGATAGATAAACATCTTTTCCATCATTTGGAAATTTTTCAGGGTTGTTTTTCCCTAAAGTTTTCATATTTGTTTTTCTGGAGAATCTCCTGTCAGTAGTTTACATTTAAACTTTGAAAAGCAATTCGTTTTTAAATAAAATAAACCAGTTTTAGTGATGTGCTTTGTTACCCACTTTTTTGCAGGAGTATATATATTAGAGTTTATCAGTCTTACCCCAAACTTGCAGCTCTAGTTAGGAAGGCAAACAGGATATGAAATTACTTATAGAAACTTAAGCTGATGTTAACCAAAGTAGGAGGCAAACAATGACCCGTAAATAAATGCATTCTAGAAAGAATCTTTAAAATATTCACAATGGATGTCATTCTGACTGTCTTGTTCACAGAGCTGAGGTTAATGTTTTATGGCAGCGGCCTCTTCCTTTTTTGATATATGAGAAACAGAGAAAGAAAAAGTTCTGAAAGAGGACTGTGCAGATGAGTTGGCACTGCAACCCACGTCATTGTTTCAAAAATGATTCCTTAGCTAACAGGATACTTTTTCTTATTTCTTCCTTTAGACACTTGAATTACTACAAGATTATAGTGGGAATAAAGTTGAGTGTCTTGCCCTAGGTCACCCAAAGACTGTAATCCATTGAAAAGAAACAGTTAAAATTTAAATATTCTCCTTTTTTTTTTTTATTATTATTGTTATCCCCCTGGCCCCTACAAGGTATAACTGAAGGCACAAGACCCCAAGGTTCTAGTTGTGTTACAATGGTCATTGCGGTCGCAAGTTTTGTAATTCGATGAGGTAGCATAGCAGCGTGTGAAATCCCACAGTGGTTAAGAGCATGGGCTTTGTTGTCACTGAACTGGATCTAGATTCTAACTCTAGCTCTAATGGGAACTTGAGCAAGTTCTGGTCTGTAAAATAAGGATTATAGTAATACCGCATAATGTTGGTATGGAGATTTAAAGAAATAATGTGATTAAGGTATAATAACATTATACCTTAGTAAATAATTAATGATAAGTCCTTTCTACAAGCTTCATGTGTAATAAACCCTCACTTTTCTGTGATGAGAGCTTTTGACCAAAGAAATAGTTCACACTGTTCTAGTAACTCATACTTTTACAGAAGTTACTGTGAATGCCTAGGGAGTAAGAAAACATTGACACCCCCTGACCTCCATGAGTAAGGAGAAGACAGTGTGCAGGAGCAATGCTACCCATTCATTAATTTTTGTAATAGGCTCTAGTACTTTTGATTTCTTTGCATTAATAAGCTTCCTTATAAACTTATTACAGGCTCTGTTCTTGTCAAGGTCCCATCTTCTCTTCAAGTTCATTTACAGTTATCAGGAAAAGAGGTCAATGTGAGCTCAGAAGTCCAAGTTCAAGAGATGGCCGAAACTCATAAAGATGATGGTGTAATAATTACTGGTAAGGAGGCTACATTTTACTGTGTAAGATGAATAGTCATTGTCCATACATAAATAGAAACATGGTATGCTTAATTTCAGTTTTAGTCTTTTATTCTTTTCCATTGTCACATTTTGGTGTTTTGACGCTTTTTTTCCCCCCTAACTGCTTATCAGTAACATAATGCAGACATTTTGTTTGCGATACTCACCAGTTCTATCATTGGTTATATTGATTAAAAATTTTTATCTTGAAGAGATATTTGCATATCTTATTTATAGCAGCACTATTGCCAAGAGGTAGAAGCAACCCATATGTCTATTGATGAATGGATAAATGAATTGTGGTATGTACTATATTCAATGTAAATATACTTACCACTACTGAACTGTAAACATGAAAATGGTTAAGATGATACATTTTATGTTATGTGTTTTTACCCCAATTTAAAACTTTAAAAATCATTAAAAACATTTTTTCCTGGCACTACTACTTTCTAATTCTTGGACTTAAAAATCAGCTAAATACATATAATGCAAGATTTAAAGTTAACTTTGCATGATTAGAACAAATAGGAATTGGGTTTGGTATTATGCACTTTGAAAACTTGTTCTTTTAGTATAACAAATTCTCAGTCCTAAAAATGTGAATAGCTTTACACATTTTTCCTAATTACCTCTGGTTGTATTGATCACTGATACTACTTTTAAAGTTATTTATTGTATAGATAATACATATACATACTTAAAAAAAATTAATGGTGAGGTTTTTTTTTAAATCTTACCAGCATAAAAAAAAGTGTGTGGTGGCACTGGCTGTGGGGTGTCTTCATAAGATCAAGCTTCAGTTTTAAATTTTTTTTTTTATGTTAAGAAAGCTGTCTATTAGAAGTCATAGAATATTAACAAAAGTCATAATAATAATAAAAATAATACCCATACACTCTCAGATCTAAATCATTGCATTTAAATGGGCAGCTCTTAGTTACATGATGAAAATTTAAGTGTATTAAATGAGATAAGAATCAACTTCTTGTGATCTAATCTCGAGTTTGATAAAGAGCCAACAGAATTATCTTTTTTTTGGCCCCATAATATAAAGGTAATACAGATTTGTTTAACAGTGTTCCAAATGACAGTGTAACCAATTGTTTTATACTAGAGGCTGGGTGCATGAAATTTGCGGGGGAATCCTTCAGCCCGGCCTGTGCCCTCGCACAGTCCAGGAGCCCTCAGGAGATGTCCTACTGACGGTTTAGGCCCGCTCCCTGAGCAGTAGGTGGGCCTAAACCGTCAGTCAGACATCCTTAGCACTGCTGCAGAGGCAGGAGGGGCTCCCGCCACTGCCACTGAGCTCACCAGCCATGAGCCCAGCTGAGCTCACTCCCTCTGTGGGAGCACACTGACCACCAGGGGCAGCTCCTGCATTGAGTGTCTGCCCCCTGGTGGTCAATGCATGTCATAGCGACTGTTTGATCGATTTGCATATTAGCCTTCTATTATATAGGATATGTTAAGAATGTTTGAATTATAAATTAAAGTTTGTCATTTTTTTATTCTGTTACTCATAAATCATATGAGTAATTTAGATTTCATTTTAATTCCATTTTAAAGTCCCATTCTCATCACTTCAGCAATTAAATCATTTAAGAACACTTACTAGTTCTGTCATAGGATAAAATCGGTATTTGCAGACCTGATCTCTTTATTAACTTCTTGCCCATTTCTACTCTACTAAACCAACACCTTAATATACTTAAAAACAAACTATCTTTTCCTAGTCCAGCTCTTCCTCCTGCTGTCTTCTGTATTTTCCTTCACTTGGTCAATCACTCAACTAGCATTTATTGAGTCAGGCACTATGAGAAACTAGGAGTGCAAAGCTGACATCGGAGGAGCTTACGTTCTAGAGAGGCAAAACAAACAAATCAGTGAATACAATAAAGTGGGAAAATGTTACAATAGAGTTATGTATGGGGTACTGTAAGAGCATGTAGGTGACACATCTAACTTAGACTAGCACTGTGAGTTTAAGGAAATGAGAGAAGTCCAGTACTTCAGGTTACTTAGATGGAATTTAGTAACAGAATGAAGAATGCTGTTGACTCATGACTCCTTAAAAAATACTTCGACAGGGAGTTAATGTAGGAATTGTCTTCAGTTGTTCACTTTTATGGTGTTTTTGTTTCCCCAGCATTTTGTAAAGTATAAGATCCTGGGAGTATCATAGATAATTAAACATTAACTTTGTTAACGTTTACCCAAAAATGGACAGGTTTTGTTCCTACTCATCTGCATATTTTATATGTAAGGCCAGATAGTAAATATGTTACATTTTGAAGGCTACATATGGTTTCTGTTACATATTCTTTTGTTTTTTTATAGCCATTTAAAAATGTAAAAGACAGTCTTACCTCTTTGGCCATAAAAAAACAGACCTCAGGCCAAATTTGGCTATGGTTTGCTGACCACTAGACAAGAGACCAAAGAACAGGCCCCAAATATAGAGCATTTCAATTCTGTTTGTAATGCCTCGAGTTTTGTTTGGTTTTGGTTTTGTATTTATTCTGGTCATTCACGAAATGCTGAACCACAGCCAAATCATACCTTGAGTGAACTCTTCCCAGTTGCAACCTAAAAATGATTTGTGCACATAGAAGTGTAACTGCGTAAAATTTAATAAACAACACAGCCACAGAAAATATATGATGGCAAATAAAAACATGTTCAACACACTACCATTAGTGAAGTGCTAATTAAAACCAGAATGAGATACTACTATATAGTAGAATGGCTAAAATGAAAAATACAAATAATACCAAATGCTGGCAAGGATGTGAAGCGATTGGGTCTCTCCTGCATTGTCATTGGGAATGTAAAGTGATATAGCCACTCTAGCATTCAGTTTGGCAGTTTGTTAAAAAACTAAACGTGAAACTATCATATGATCTAGCAATTACAATCCTGGGCATTTATCTTGGAGAAATGAAACAATGTTTGCACAAATATTCATAGATTTATTTGTAATAGCCAAAGCTAAAAATGATTGAAATATGCTTCTACCAGTAAATGGTTAAACAAACTGTGGTATGTTTATATAATGGATAACTGTTCAACAATAAAAAGGAATAATCTATTGGTATATACAACTTGGATGAAATTTAAGAGAATGGTGCTGAATGAAAAAGTCTCAAAATGTTACATACTGAATGATTCCATTTATATAACACTAGAGACTTGGTGCATGAATTCATGCACAGTGAGAAGAAATTAACTAGAAGAAACATTTTAATATCACTATTTGCCCTTTCTCTATAATAGAAGTGTCAACCAAATTCAGGATCAACAATGACGGATGGAAACACATGCGTGTGATGGGTGCCAGCGAGAGCTTTAAATATATAGATAAACTTGCTTAATTAGACCTGCTTTCTGATTTAGCTAAACTTTTTCCAGCCCCGTGAGGCACCCCAACTTCTCTTTCCAGTAATTGTCAGCAACACAGCAGTAAATATCAACATGAAGCAGATTATTATTGTAGATCACACAGGGAGAACAAAGGGTAAAATATTTAACTGCAGCAGTGTTTGACTATATTCTGCACAGTGAGAAAACCTGAAGTAATTTTCAAGGTCCACCATTTCTTACTTCTTTTCAGTCGGGTCAAGTTTCTGAGCTTTCTAAATCTTCATTTTCCATCTAATGAAAAGAAAATAGAATTCCACTGAGTCTCCTATCTACCTACTCCAGGACTTCTATGGGAATCAAATGAGATGAGGCATGGGAAAATGCTTCACAGACATTTGGTTAAAGTGTAAAATGTTTGGACCTGGCTGTAAAGCAAGTGGTGTTCCTGGGCTGAAGAAACTGCAAGGAGGCTAGTCACTAGGGAGAGGAAGCTGGGCATTGCTACGTGACATCATTACCCTGCACGCACAGCCACCATTTTGGGCTGGGATGTGGGCTGCGTTTGCGCCATGGGGTCTTGGCAGCGTCAGATGTGATTTGGTGGTCTGTAGCTTTGGAGTGGTGGCGGGGCCCGCATCCCACTTGTGGGAAGCCGGGTGTTGCTTTGTGAGTGCCAGGTCTGTGGTGCCATTTCTCTGTAAATGGCCAGGGTGCGTCAGACGGCCGCTCCTGCATTGAGTGTCTGCCCCCTGGTGGTCAGTGTGCATCATAGCAAGAGATCAAACTCCCCATTGGTCAAACTCCCGAGGGGACACTTTGCATATTAGGCTTTTATATAGAGAGATTCTTGAAATGACAAAGTTATAAAATGGAGAACAGATAATTAGTTGCCAAAGATTAGGGGAAAAGAGGGAGGATAAAACTATAAAGACATGTCATAAGGGACTTTTATAATGATGGTTATATGAATCGATACATGTGATAACATGTCATAAAGGTATACCTAAAACATACAAAAAAGTGAGTATGTAAAAATGCTGAAATTGGAGTAAGGTGTGTAGTCCAATTAATTGTATTTTGCCAACCAATTACCTGGTTTTGATAATGTACTATGGTTATATAAAATATATATATTTTATATATGGTTATATAAAATATATATTGGGGGAACTGGCTAATGGCTGCACCTCTTTATACTGTTTTTGCAACTTCTTAGGAGTCTTAAATTATTTCAGAATAAAAAGTTAAAGAGAGCCCTGGCTGGGTAGCTCAGTTGATTGGAACGTTGTCTTTATATGTCAAGGTTACAGATTCAATACCAGTTAAGGCACAAGACTCAACCAATGAATGCATAAATAAGTGGAACAACAAGTTGATGTTTCTCTCTTTTTTCTCTCTCTCTCTCTCTCTCCTTTCCCCTCTCTGTCTAAAATCAATCAATAAAAAAATTTTTTTTAAGGGTGTTAGAGTAAGAACACGTAGAGCATGATGGAGGGAGGGAGGAGAAGAGAAAGAAAAATATGAAGGCTTCCAGGCAAGAAGCAGAATAAAAAGGACTTACTTACCCTTCTACCTAAAACACCACCACAATTTTCTAAATAGACACAATACATAAAAAAACAGTTTTCAAAACACTAGGTATTAGTAAATGAAATAGAGTGATCACTGAGAGAAAGGAAACAAAATAAGCCCCTCCTAACTGCCTCGAGAATCTCCAGCCTATGGTGAGTACAGAGGGAAAATGCATCTATTATGGAACCCAACAGGCTCCCTGAGTTGAGAAGAGTCCACAGAGACTAAGCAAGCTATAGTTCATAGGACAGAATACCAGAGGGAATAGAGCCTGGTGCTTACGCAGGTCCAGGAATAATGCCTGCTCTACTTGCCAGACTGGGAAAAATTATAACTCATGGAGCATTAGGTAGAGGACTAAGTAGTTGGAAACAATTAACCCTAGACTGAGCACCCCTCCTCTGCCTAACAAATTATAAAAGCAAGAGATGAAAGGCTTAAACTATTACCAAGTAACTTAACTGCATCCTTGAACAAAGCTAAAGATTTACAGGAATACAAAAATATTCAGCGCCCAACAAAATAAAATTCACAATATCTGGCATCCAGTCAAAGGTTATCAGACACGCAGAGGCAAGAAAACATGACCCATAATGAAGAGAATATCAATTGAAACCCACCCAGAACAGACACAGATGTTAGCATTAGCGGAGAAGGAAAATAAAAGTTATAGCTGTATTCCACATGTTGGAATAAAGTTAAGACATGGAAAATTTTTTAAAAAACCCCGAAATTGAATTTCTAGAAATAGAACTGAAAACTATAATGTCTGAAATGAAAAATTCAGCAGCTGGGATTAGGCATAGAAGATTTGAGGAAGAAAAAGTCTCTCCAAGAATATTTCTTGGGCAAAATTGGTTAATTGTATACTTGCTCAAAACCTAGAGTATGATTATCTTTGTTCTAATTTCAAGTAGTTGAGAGAAAAACACAATGATAGGCACCATTAAAACTAGCTCAAAAATATTTTGCCAGTAAATATTTGTTGTCAAGATAACTTGGTATGCATTTCTGTCGAGAGAACTGTAAACAGTTAAACCATGTTGACAACATTAAGATATCGGTTATGGAACTGTGTGTGGTATTAGAGGTTTTGTTTGTGAAATACATGCATTAAAATAATTAAATTTCAGCATAATTATCTTCATGTTGTTTTATAAGTATGATTTATTTTCCTAGCCAGCTGGTAAGCTTTTTGAGGGCACTAACATGTCTTTTTACATCTTTTGACCCTCCCTGAAATACTTCGCATGGGGCTTCCCATTGTGGGTGGTCAGTAGAGTTTACACTGTAAAAGAGGGAACCCTCCAACTATGATGCACTGAAGTTTATTCTGAGGCTAATAAGGCAGCACCAGAATTATCCCTCTGAACCAAAATACGTAAATAAACAAAGCCTGTTATAGGGTTTGGGGAAGAGGGTGCAAAAACTCATCTCAGTCAAGAAGCTTTTCAAGCTTATTTTAAACCAGGGAACTAAATTATGCAAATGATCCCTTAGAGCCCCATCTTTAGCCACAGCCAGTGCTGATTAGGTCAGGCACATTTAGGGTTCGTGGCTAACGCTTCTCCACTAGGCATTTGAGGAAATAAATAAATTTGGAGATTTATGTATTTGGGTGGATTTGGACAGAGCAAATTTAGAGTGCAAATGCTAGAGTTTAAAAATGTCCTAAGGAGAAACTTTTCTCCCCATTTAATGGAAGCCAAACCACGTGGGGAAAGGGTGGGCATTTCCCATTTCTTGGTCAAATAAACATTGTCTGATTTTCATTGGCAAAGGCATTTAAATAAGGAGCAAGGTTTTTGTAACCCCAAGTTCCAATATGCGTTACAAGATTTTTTAAGGAAAGTATTTATAAACTTTACAAATTAGAGTCTCCACAGGTTCAGGTCAAAGTATGAAGGGCTTTTAGTAAATTACTTTTTGGCAAGATAGAGCTATTTTAAGGAACCAACGTGTAATTTTGTAAACTACCTTATTTTTTTTAGTATTGTCTCTAAGCTAAAATTGCTTTTGTATTTATTTTGTTGGTATCAGCAGCACCATGCGTGGCCTCTGCTGCTGCAGAAGGAAATAGGCAGATTGGCTTCTCTCTCCATAAGCAAGAAAATGCATTATTAGGAAGGTGACAAGTAATATATAAGGGAAAAAATTGTAGATATTTGGGAAAACCTTACTATTTTTTATACTTTGCCTATTGATGCTAAATAGTGTAAAAAAATAATAAAATTAGAGAACCTATGTTCAAGATTTTCTGTTCTTCCCTCTGTTTATTTGAATCACTAGGAGAAAGAAATTCTGTTTTATAGAAAGACTACTGGGTGCAGATACCTCAAAATCCTGACCTATTGAATGCAGCATAGGCATAAAAAGAACAAATTCAGAGCTGAACCCCTTAATGAAGAAGTTAGGGGGGAAAGAGAAGCTTCTAACACAAGGATTTACTAATGGGAATCATAATGGTATTGAAAATATAGCAAGAGAAGTAGAAGGAAAAACTCCAGAGCAGTGGTTCTCAACCTTCCTAATGCCGTGACCCTTTAATACAGTTCCTCATGTTGTGGTGACCCCCAACCATAAAATTATTTTCGTTGCTACTTCATAACTGTAATTTTGCTACTATTATGAATCGTAATGTAAATATCTGATATGCTATATGTGTTTTCCGATTGTTGCAACCCACAGGTTGAGAACTGCTGCTCTAGAGGAAGCCATTGAATACTCAGCTGTGTTTTGGGACAGATCCAGTGACCTCTAAGACATAAATAAGATTATGGCTCAGATTAAATGGGAGATGCAATAATTCAGAGAAGAATTTGTATCACAGAAGCACTTACCACAAAGATTGGATGGCACAAATCACCTTTTCATCAGCTGAGAACATTATATGGTACCACCAAAGGAAAAAAAATTATACTAAAGAAAAGGATTGCCTGATTTGTGTGCTTGGATTTAACAAGGAACATTTATATGATGAATTGAAATAGTATATTTACAGCTCCTCAGTTCAAATTTGACTGGGTTCTTAAGGACAGAATTGCAATGGAGTGCCAGAGGTGGTGTAACAACTTAATTACCTTGATGGTGAGAAAAAAACATAGAACTAGAAGAATTGAGATGGGAAATGAACCAGTGAGCTAGCTCTATGAATGCCACAGCCTATTACCTTGAGAAAATTTCCAGGCTGCAGGGCACAGAGGGGTAAGAGGCAGAGCCAACAGACTCCCCAGAGGAGGGGACTGAACTGAGCATCTAGGGCAAGAATGTCAAATTCAAAGGCTAACACGGGCCAAATAAACAACTAGGGAGACCAGGGCTGCTGGAGTTCATAGGAGAGTTCCAGAGAGTAGGCAGCTGTAAAGGGTGCCCATGAGCGTTCAGCAAAGTACTGATCACCCTGTGTGTGAGGAAACTACCTAACACTTCCTACAATGGGAATGAACTTCAAAATAATTATGCTGAGTGAAAGAACCCAGATTTTAATAAAGTGTGCATACTGTAGGATTCCATTTATTACAATTTCTTTTTAAAAAAGAACTCATCCGTTGTGATTGCTGCGGGATGGGGGTCGAGGGGTCTGGAGGTAACAGACAGGGAAGCACAGGAGGGAAAGATTACAAAGGGGCACAAGGAAACTTGTAGGTGTGATAAATATGTTCATTATCTTGATTGAAGAAATGGTCTCACGGGTTTTTTACATGTTCTAAAACAATACATTGCATACTTTATATACATGTCATTTATTTGGTCAATTGTGCTCATGTAAAGCTCTTTTTTAAACTTGCATGCAAAAAAAATACAAATAAAAAACAGTAGCTTCCCTTTTAGAGTTGTTCTGAGAAAATGAAAGGAGGGATCAAGCCCGGGTAACCTTTTAACTGTTTCCCAAGTCTATCACAACTAAGATATTTTGTTGTTCCAAAGCATTTTTGGTTTTAAAGATATAGTGTTAGGATCTATGTAGTCAAATATTGCTATTGTCACTCAAGGTATAACTTTATGCATTTTGTGTTTCAGGGCTCATGAATCAAGGAAGCAAACTTGAAAAATGGATTAAGGCTGATGCCCCAAAAGGCACTGTAAGTTTTAGAAATCAAAGCTGGTTTCAGTCCCTGAAACTGCAGGACTGAATGGTTTGAGCCCGGCCAGTGTGGGTCAGTGGTTGAGCGTCAGCCTATGAACCAGGAGGTCACAGTTTGATTCCTGGTCAGGACACATGTACAGGTTTTGGGCTCGATCCCCAGTAGGGGGCGTGCAGGAGGCAGCCAGTCAATGATTCCCTCTCATCATTGATGTTTCTATCTCTCTCTCCCCCTCTCTTTTTTAAAAAAGGAATGATTTGAGTTGTATTTATAATTTTAATAATTAGTAGATCAATGACTACAAAAATGCAAATACCACACTGTTCATATAAATACTGAAAATAACAAATTGGATGAGTATTGGTGAATTGTGTTTTTTTGGGGGGAGGGGGAAATGTCAAAATTTGTACTTACCTATTGTTTAGTTTCCTTATTGCTCTGTAACATATTGCTACAAACTTATCGACTTAAAATAACACTCATTTAACAGCTCACAGTTCTGTAGGTCAAGAGCTTGGCTAGGTTCTCCATTCAGGATACCCATCAGGCTGAGCTCAAGGTGTTGGCTAGACTGAGTTCTCATCTGGCTGCTCTGGTAAAATAAAATAAATCTTCCAAGCTCATTCTTATTGGTGGTAAAATCTTGTTCCTTGTGACTGTATGAGGTCTCCATTTTCTTGCTGTTGGCATTTGCTCTAAGCTTCTAGAGACTAAATATATCCCTTCTCATATGGCCCTGATCATCTTCTAGTCAGCAATGATGCATTCAATCTTTCTAATACTTCTGACCTGTTCCGCAGCCACGTGGAGAGAACTCAGCTATTAAAGGGCCCACTTGATTAGGTCAGGCCTACCCAGGATAATCTTTGTTTTGTCATATAATATAACCTAATTATGAGTGATGTCTCACATATTCACAGTTTCCATTCATACTCAAGAAATTATACAAAGACATAGGTAATAGGGGTAGAGGGATAGGGAGTTATTTCAGAATTTTTTGTACCATAGGTCTTATGTAATGTTTTCTACTTGTATTTATTATAACATCAAAGTAAATTTAAGTTGTGAATAAAACACATCATAAATATGTAATTGTTACTGATTTTTCATTTATTTTGCATAATTTAAGACATAACTTGTTAGTGGGAAAGAAACATTCAGCTATTTTGTAGCCTGATGTTTGAAGATAGATTTTCACTTTTATAATGATGTATTATGTAAAAGTTATGAATTCTCGTTCTTTCAAACCTTATTTGTCTACTCCTAGAGCATTTAAATTAACACTGAAAGACTACCTAGTAGATTAGATTTTTTATGATTAGGATACATCAGTTCTTAAACACTAATTTCTGATATACCTTTCCAAATAGTGTGATTTATAATAGTCTCTTTTTGTTAATATTTCACTTATTTACAGTTGTCTATTTTTAACTTGTGAAACAAAAGTCAGCTTTGTGTAATATCTCCAAGTTTCCTTTTAGTTTACCCTTTGTGGAATCAAAATTAGTATAAGTTTGGATGATACACATTAGTATATTTGATGTGGTTGTGGTGTGTGTGTGTGTGTGTGTGTGTGTGTGTGTGTGTGTAATAAGTAGAAGAAACTGAGAGGCAATGAGACAATTTTTATCCTTTTTCACTCTCATGCAATTATATAAACATTTTCATGACTAAAAATAAAGTTTATGAACTTAGTCAACAATAGCCAAAAAGGTCATGAGCATAACATTAGTCAACTGTATTTAAAATTATTAAAAGAATTATACATAATTTGGTTCACATAATCAAGTCTAAACAGAAAGGGAAAGCTTCCATATTTTGTTCTCTTGAACACAGACTGATTTATATCAAATGCTTAAGAGCTGAGACCTAAGAAATAATTTGGATACCCTGAGGAACTTGCACTGAGAACTTGAAGATTTCACCCCCTCTTCACTCTACTTCTTGATCCCCTTTTCATAATCTACTTTTTCTAACACACCTTTTCTTTCATTTCTGTGTCTATAAAATTTGTCTCCCCATGAAGAACAAATGTATCTCCTGTTCTTTTTCTTTTATTGATTTTTTTTTTAAGAGAAAGGGGAAGGGAGAGGGAGAAAAGGAAACATATTAGAGCAGAATATGGATTTGCTGCCTGCTGCACATCCCCTAATGGGGATCAAGCCAGCAACCCAGGCATATGCCTTACCAGGAATCAAACCAGCAACCTTTCGGTTCATGGGGGGACACCCAGTCAACTGAGCCACATGGCCAGGACTCTGTTGTTGTTATTTAAAAGAGAATCTTAGAGAGTTTTGGAGTTCAACACCCTCCTTGGTTACTAGAGAACATAATAGGGTGTGTCGATCCTTACTCTGGTCTTCCCCATGCAGCTGTTATTGCTGAAGAAAGCAGCAATAGGTCTCTACGGTTGTGTGCTTGAAACATTTAGGGGTCAGAAGCCCACTTTTTAATTTTTTTTTAACTGAGAGAGAAAACTGATTTATTTCACTTATGCATTCATTCGTTGTCCCTTGTATGTGCCCTAAACGGGGACCAAACCCACAACCTTGGGGTATCAGTACAATGCTTTCATCAGTTGAGCTACCGAGCCAGGGCAGAAGCCAGCTATTATGTAGCTGCCAGAAATCTCCAAATGTAGTTTAAAAATCACCATCAGAACAATCATCTTAAATCTTTTGGCTCAGGTCTTAAAACTTCCTATTCAGCTGATGCCCCTGCTGAATAGGAACCATTCAGGAACCATTTCTACAGCTAAGTGATACTACTTAATTTCAAAAACTCTTTCAAAATCAAACTAAAGGGAGAATTATTAAAACTATTTAGCTAATATAGATTACCATATAATAATAGCAGTTGAGCCCTTTTAAAAAATTTTCAAAATAACTCTCATATCCTTTCCCTTAAATGTTATCCTTCAAATTTGTGGGATACAAAAGGATAGTGATGAACCCCATTTAACAGATAAGTAACAGAGGAAATAGGGTTAAATACTGATCTAATATTACTGACACAACTTCTTTGGGGCGAGTAGAATAGTGTGTTCTCCCCTGGACTCTGAATATCAGTCTACATGACATTAAATAATGTTACAAATAACCTATATCTCTTAGCATAAAATTGGGAGAGCACCCTTTTTGGGATAGCATAGTTTTAAAATATCCCTATTGTGAAAATCTGATTAAAAAGATTTATCTGAGACATTGCAGGGATATTCTATTCACAGATAGTTCCTGCTTCAATTTAATTTGCTCCTAGCAGTTAAGTCAGATGTTGGGATGAGTCAGTCAATTGGCATTTAGTTCTGTCTTGTTAAGTATCTGGAAACCATAAGAAAACCTTGTTTCCTCTAAAAATTTATGTTGCCCAGCTGGTGTGGCTCGGTGGTTGAGCCTCAAACTATGAACCAGGAGGTGTCATGGTTTGGTTCCTGGTCAGGGCACATACCCGGGTTGCAGGCTCGATCCCCAGTGTGGGGTGTGCGGGAGGCAGCAGATCAATGATTCTCATCATTGATGTTTCTTTATTCTCTGAAATAAATAAAAATGTATTTTTAAAAAATATATGTTCATGTTTTTTACAATAAAGCTTCACAGATCCTTAAAGTCATTTGCCCTGGCTCCATCTCTTTGATTTATAAGGCCACCTCTGCTTTTCTAAAGAAAAGCTTCTAAATTTCTTGTCAAAAAATACTACAAGTCTCAGTGTTGTTTCATATAACTGTAACCTCAGATTTAATAATATCATCAAACTATTGGTTTGATTAAGGTAAATTTAGATGGAAAATTTATATAGTAGCAATACTTGATTTGACTTTTTAAAAATCATTATCAGACAGAAGATTTAATGATGCATTTAAAAACATTTGTAGTTGGAATAAGAATCAGGAGATGATTTGCTGCTGTTTATACCATTGAGATCCAGCTAATAAAAATATTTGCATCAAATGAAGTCACCAAATTCTAGATTGTTTTGTTCTTCTGTTTGAGTTGAAGGTTATGCTACTTCCTCTTCACTATTGTATGTTGACTCTTTCACTGTCAATTCTCTATCTTTAAGTGGTGTTATCTCCCGCCGCCGCCGCCGCCGCCGCTGCCGTCTGTTGCATGCTTGCCTTTATCATCATAGCTAGACCAAGCTGGAGTTCCAGTAGGGTTGTATTCTTGCTGAACTATAGATGACATTTTCATAGCTGCCTCCCTGCAATAACAGTGATGAGCATTAGCTAGTTTGCAGAAATCATCGCTGGTGTAGATTTTTCAAACTAAATCATAGTTGGAGTTAAAAAACTCACCATCAGGAGTTGAATTTACGTTCCACAGCTTTCTTGCCTTCCTCGGCGGGGGAGGGGGGGGGGCGTAATTGTGCTAATAATCAGGATTCCAAAGCTTAAGTAGCTCAGTGGCACTCTAGGTTAGCCAGTTCAGAGATTAACAGGCACAGTGAGTGAGTTGAGAAATTGCATGGCCATGGACTAGGAATACTGAGCGCACTCTATAGTGCTCTTGAGTGAGCTCTCTGCCTGCCATTCCCAGAGCCTTAGATGAGGCAGAAGCCTTTGCGGTCCATCTGAGAAGGCTAGTCAGGCACCCGAACAGGAACTCCTAACCCAAAGTCTGCAGATCTCTGTTGGACACATGGATGAGTTTCAGTGAGGTCCATGAGCTCTTGGAAAATTTATGCAGTTTCTACCTTAATATGCCTTTTTCTTCTGAGGAGTGGGTTTGTGACTTTCCTCAAATTCTCAAAGGTGTCTATGACCAAAATGATTAAAAATACTAGTACTGTCTTTCTTAGGAGGCAGACAGGAAGGAAGCAAAGAGGGCATGTAAAAAATGTTTGGGACTCCCAATTTCAACATGAGGGTGTGTGTGTTGTTGGGGGGTTCCCCCATACTACCAAGCAATTATTGGGTACCAACCAAGGTGTCCTGCAGTTCAAGTCAATTATGATACCATCTACCCAGAGTTAGCATCAGATTCCACAGGTTAAGGGCTCAGTCCCACAAGACCACACTTCACTTCGGACACTAATTGCAAGTCCAGGTTGTCTCCTGGGCTTCCGACCAACTGGCTATATAGAGCAAAGGTTCCAGTGACCTCATTGGGTTGGATTGATTTGCCATAGCTACTCACAGAGCTCAGAGATACTTTACTTACCTGATCACCAGTTTATTATAGAGGATATAACTCGGGAACAGCCAGATGTAAGAGATGCATAGGGCAAGGAATGGGGAAAGGCTGCAGGGTACCCATGCCCTCTTCAGTCATGCCCCTCTCCCCAAATCTCCATGCATTCACCAACCCAGAAGCTCTCTGAACTCTGTCTTTTGGGGTTTTTAATGGAGACTTCCATGATGTAGCAATGATTTATTAAATCAGTAGCCACTGGTGATTGATTCAGCCTCCAGCCCCTCTTCCCAAGTGGGAAATCAGTCCCACCCCTCTCTTCATGGTTGGTTCCCCAGGCAACCAGCCCCAATACTTCGGTACTTTCCAAAAGTCACCTTATTAACCTAAACCCAATTGTGGTGGAAACAGGCTTGTTATGAATAACAAGATACCCATTTCACCTTTATGAGTCTGAAATAATTTCAGGAATTGAGGCCAAATTAGGGCTGAGTCTCTGCTTCATGTTGATAGGGACAGCTGGGTTTGGTGGTAGAAAACAGAAGTGGTCTTTTGGCTGTCCTGGCTCGGAAAGGAATTTTCCGTATATCCAGCTAGTTCACTATAGCTTTGCATTAGGTTTTGGGGCCAAGTCCAGCTAGTAGTAAAATCTTGCTTAGTTTTCTTTGCATATTTTTTTATCTAGTGACCTGGCAAGAGGGGTGAGGAATCAAAAGCAAGATTTGGATATTAACAGAAATCTTGGGTCTTCTTCATTAAACACAATACTTAACACACTTGAACATTCCATACCAGATTAGATTCAGTGAGGCCCTTGCCAGAAAGTCTCCATTCATCTAGCTAAAATCCCAATTATTAGAAGTTCAAAATGTTACTTCTCAAAGAGTGATTGGCAAAATAAAATGATAAGATTAGAAGCTCAACTCCATTGTGTAATATGTTATCCATTCACTACCACCTGCCCAAATGTGGTTGTTTAATAGTATGACAAGGTTGGCAGAGACTCCTAAGACTGATATCCATATCAGTCTTCTTCAGACCTATCTGGAAGGGTTGAGTCACCATTCCTCTTCAAAATTTTTCAAGGGCCTGCCCTCTTTAATCTGACCCAGCTTCAGTTGGCTGTCTGACCTCCTCCCTCCCTGCAGTCCTGGTCCCAGAGGGAGTACCTATTTTACAAGTTTTTGTTTTAATTTCATTTTAATACACCCAGCCTTGGATCAGAAACCATTTTCTTCCCTAGACCTCAGGTGATCAATTTTCATGGCAGGCTTGCTTAATTAAGGAAGTTCTCTGAGTCACTGTCCCGTGCACTGATGGGTTCTGGGTTCAATTCTGGTCAGGACACATACCCATGTTTCAGGTTTGATACCTGGTAGGAGCATGTGCTGGAGGCAACTGGGCGATGTTTCTCAGACCACTGTTTCTCTCTTTCCGTTTCTCTCTAGAATCAATGAAAGACATATCCTTAAGTGAGGATTTAAAAAAAAAAGTTCTCTGAGAGACATCTACATTCTTAGAACACATTATGCAGTCTATACTTTGATAATATTATTCATTTTTCCAGCTTGCAGAAAAGAATCTTATCTACAAGGATTGGTCAAGAATTCTCATTTTGAACACTTCACAGGTTACTTCTTTAGGTCAGTTAAAATAATTGCACATGTTTACTCTCAGTCAATAGGAAAAACTAAACCAGTGGTTTTCAACCTTCTGGCCCTTTAAATACAGTTCCTCATGTTGTGACCCAACCATAAAATTATTTTCGTTGCTACTTCATAACTGTAATGTTGCTACTGTTATGAATCATACTGTAAATATCTGATATGCAGGATGGTCTTAGGCAACCCCTGTGAAAGGGTCATTCGACCCACAGGTTGAGAACCGCTGAACTAAACGATGGAGCAGATAACTTCTTTCTGTTTAAAAACACAGGGTAGACACTCTAGGCCCTCTATCCTTAAATTTTGCTTATTTAAAACAAAATTAGATATGAAAGAGGCAAAATGACAACAGACCCCACAGAAATACAAAGGATTGTAAAAAAAATAGTACTATGAACAACTCTATTCCAACAACCTTGAACAAATGGACATATTCCTAGAAAAATACGACCTTCCAATACTCAATCGGGAAAAATAAAAAAATCTGAATAGGCTGATAACTATGAAGGAAATTGAAGCAGTAATCAAAAAACTTCCAGCAAACAAAAGCCCTGGCCCAGACAGCTTCACAGGGGAGTTCTACCAAGCATTCAAAGAAGAACTAAAACCTATCCTCCTCAGACTATTCCAAAAAATTCAAGAGGAAGGCACACTTCCAAGATCTTTCTATGC